TGTGTGTGTGTGTGTGTGTGTGTGTGTGTGTGTGTGTGTGTGTGTGTCTTTCTCCTCTCCCACCCCCTCCCCCCTTGATGTTCTCTCTCAAATAAAAATAAAATAATTAATTAAAAAAATAGAAAATGTTCTAAAATATATTGAAAGTAAAAGCCTGGGAGACTGAGGCCACTTTTGCAGCAGGAAACATGTTTACAGGCATAGATGGCAGTCTAAACATAAAACATTGGAGAACCTTGTTATTTAGTTTCAGCAATTTCAAACATTATCTTAAACAACTGATCTTATCCAACATATCTTACAATATAAGTTAACATTTTTCAACGTCCTATGACAGAAGATATGAACACTGCACTAGAATATGACTGCTGTCAAAGGTAATGCCACTTACCTCTTCTGCTGTCCAGAAGGATGCCTGTGCCTTTTTATACATTTTCCAAATGTCAGGGTACTGGATTGGAAAGATGACAAATCGGCGAGAACTCTTTCGTAGGAGTGGCTCTTCATTTGACTTCACTTCATTTTCATTGGAATCTGAAGACAACCTCTTTGGAAAATAAAATACACACACACATTCTGTGTAGACATTACCTCTTTATACATATCTAAACACCAATTTGGGGGAATTAAATAGACCGCACAGGTTGAGGAGTCCGTCTGCCTGGGCTGAATCCTTGCTGTTATCTGGTACCTGGTTAATAGTGTTTGGTTAGTTATGTGACCATCGAAAGTTGCTTAACTTCTCTGAGCCTTGGTTTTTTCCTTATCAGTAAAATAACACTTAACTCGCAGGTTAATCTTAATGGTTAAAAGTGCTTTAAACCAACCCTGGTGCATAAGGAGCACTCAGCAAAATTGTCATTATTGCTACTTTAAGGATAAGCACAAAACTAGATCCCTAAGTGTCATGGTGGGCAAATCTCTAAGTCTGTGCACAAAATGTCCCTTCAGTGCCTTTCTCAGAGATAGGATGCTGGCATGAATAGGCTACTATTATAAGCTACTTTCTTATTTTAATGTGTTTTTTTCCTAATCTGAACTGAAATATTAGAATACTTAACTGAAAACTCCTTACCAACAATTTACCAACCTTTGTTCATCTGAACCTTCCCATTTACCAATTGGTTATTACTATTTGCTTGTTAACGTTACTACAGATGGTCTTCCTGTGGGCTGGCTCAAAGCGTTGTAGAATTGAGTGAGAAGCACACACCTATATACATACAACTTGGAAATGATGGCATTCCGAGGGGACAGTGCCAGGTTTTTGTTTTTGTTTGTTTTTGTTTTTTTAACAGTCAGCAAGAGTATCAGAAGAGTTGTGCCTTGCATGAGAATGAATATATAGAAAGTACATACAAATGGGCTAAAAAAATAGATAAATCAAGATTATTGGGATACATTTCTGTTCCAGACTCCTAATTCAAACTCTTTTTCTCCAGTGCCAGGCCCATCATGTTCCTTCATCCTTTTCATTGCTTCCACCAACCACAACTCTCCGAAGCAAGTGTACTGTCACAGATGAAACTAAAGCAAAGCAAGATGAGAAAAAGGCTCAAAATTGAAGCCTGAGGCTATCCCAATACAGGTAGGGCTTATACACTGCACACATACTGCCACTATAGTATATATAGACTCATATTTTGTTTTTTTTGTTTTTCATGCTCTTATTTTTTAGACTGTCTTATTTTATAACTACTTATTTGAAGGTGTAGGCTTCCCCAGATAAAGCACTTGAGCCCTGGGGAGTAGAAAGCAGTTTTTATTTATTGTGGTGTTCCCAGAGTACTGTGTCAAGCATAACATCAATACACATTAGCTAAGTAAGTGAAGGGGCTGCTAATTTCTCTTTATCCTGTACTCAAATCACTGGATACCTTTAGAATTTAATTTAACATAAGACCACAATACATCAGTGAGATACCCTAACAACCACTCAAATCAAGCCTTTTCTGAGTACTCCCACATTTCGTCCCCCCAGGCCCCTAAAGGGGGGATTTGGTCCCCCACATGGCACATAGTTCACTGTAATTTAATTCCTTATTATTCGTCTGTAGTCTCCTCTAGACTAGGCTTCTCGAGAGTAAAAACTAACTTTACTCTTGTGGAATCCCTAGAACCTAGCATAGTACCTGGGATTTAGTTGATATTCATTCCCCAAATATTCAAGCAAATTTTTAAAATGGAAGTCGTTTTTTGTTTGTGTCGCTTTTATATATTTTGTCACTGGGGTACAGGTATATATTTGGAGCTGGAATTCTTTACCTTCAGTGTATTTGCTATGTGAACCATCATAAGCAGTAACCATGTAGCAGCTAAGCACTCTGGCCCTGAAAGTTTTTAAATGCTGATTAATCGATCAATGTCAGAATCTTTGAAAACGGCAGAAGACTAGCACCTTTAAATTGGAATGAAAGTCACTTTTGAACATATATTCTTCCTGTTCCGTTCTGATAATTTGTGAATTGTTAAGAGAAGTAGTTGGATTAGGAAGGCATTATGAAAGAGTTTGCAGTATGAAGAGAGGAGGGTTTAATCAACATAAACCTCTGAACTGGACTAGAAATGACACATTACTTATTTCCATGATCCTTAAAAAAACCCACACACACTTTAATACAATGTCAGGAGGGGCATACATCCCAGAGGTCTAGGTTTTCTAGAATATCCTCTATGGACCTAAGAATTTTACAAGAGAAAGCAATGTGAAAAAAAGTCACGATGGCATGTACTTTCTAAATCTAGACCTTACCATATGTGTGGGACAATAGAAGGAGAAGAAACCAGAAAAAAAAAAGCAGAGAACACTTCCCGATGACTTTCTAAATACGTTCTAAAGAACTCTGGGTCCCTCTAATGTCACAAATGCTAGATTAAAATTTCATTATGAAATATTTTTTACTACAATTTTAACAGGTTAAAACACAACAGATGTTCTGTATATACAGAAAGAATGCCACGAATGCATGCACTTGTGTTTCCAGGTTGTCATTTTTCTTTCCTTTTTTGGGCGGGGAGGGGGAGAGACCTCAGATAAAAGTTTCTCTAGCCATCTCTGCTTAACTAAAGAACACATGAGATTAAGAGACGGGCAGTTTAAAAAAACAACAAAAACAAACAAACAGAATCTGTAATCATTTGTATTTGTTTTTCAGAAGTGAACCTAGATTTTTTTCAAAACCAAACAAAAAGGATAAAACAATAGTACAATAATAATAATAAAACAGTAGAAGCCCTTTTATGCAAAGTGATCCAAACTGGCAGTTAGAAATTGGCTAAAGGAAGGAATCATAAGAAAATGATATATGCCTTAAAGTATTTAACTTAAAACATGTAATTTACATTTACTTACTCATTTTCTGCTATAAAGTCAAAGCTTTTTGTTGTTGTCAATTTGGCTCACTGATTGGACTCCCAAGTCTTTCTGACATAAACATGATATAACACATCATTTACACTTTCTAGTTTTAACATACTTAAGGTGGAACACTGCGTGCAGAGTCCTTATCTCTTGTAGGATTCCCTCCCAATCTTTTTATACTTGTCTTGCTTACATCTCTTCTACAGAATTTGTTTTTAATGAGTCATCTTCACTGAGTTCTCCATAGCTTCCAATTTATGTTTTCACAGAAACAACTTCCTTCTCATTCTCATAGTTTACACATTTAATTAAATTATAATAATTACAATGCAAATACAATAGGTATTATAAATGAGATTGGAAACAAGACAACTGATTTGGTAAGGTATAACTCAGCCAGTGGGAACAGAAGTATGTGGTGCATTAGAGAAGAATCTACTACTCTTACATTCTAAAGCCAGTGGCTATCCACTTATTTTATAGGGTTGGTAAATCCACAAGACTGACTAGTAGTAAATTGATTAAGAAAACTTTGATAAGGGGCCCCTGGGTGGCTCAGTTGGTTGAGCATCCGACTTCAGCTCGGGTCATGATCTCACGTGTGGTTTGTGAGTTTGAGCCCTGCATTGGGCTTTCTGCTGTCAACACAGAGCCTGCTTCAGATCCTCTGTCTCCCTCTCTCTCTGCCCCTCTCCTGCTCGCCTGTGATCTCTCTCTAAAATAAATAAAAACTTAAAAAAAAACAAAACACACAACTTGTGATAAATATGCAAAGAAATTGTTTGCTAAGTTTGATATAAATCTTCACTTACCATCTGTACCCCAATTCAAAATGATGGGTTCATCAAAACAGCCTCACTATTCTATTAATTGATTTTATAAGTAATGTTCTATACATTAACTTAAATAAACTTATACTAACAACTAACAACTAACTAAAACAAAGGTGGATTTTATCTATTAGTGTTGGGCTTACAATTTTGTTTGGAAAATACGGTCAGGTATTAAAGCCATGGGAAGAGGGCTGTCAGTGTAAATATATATGAATTTTGCCACAGTGGTTTTTCTATAGTCATTTTGATACAACTGTTTTGACACTTTCTTTTTTACCTCAAAGTCATCATTCTGCTAAAATGAAACAAGCAAAAAATTTTAACTTTTCACTTTTAAAATATATACTTTGTCTCTAAGCTTTATCTGAAGTTAAGGTAGGTATGTATTTTGCATGTTAAATGGCTATTAAGATGCTGGTTTTCAAAAAATGTTGAAAGTGTTCTGTTTTGATATATAACACTTTAGCATCTGGCCTCTATCACATACACTATTAGGAGACTTAGAAAGTCTCTAAATCCCTTTTTTTTTTTTTTTAATGTTTACTTATTGTTGGGGTGGGGAGGGGCAGAGAAAGAGGAAGACACAGAATCTGAAGCAGGCTCCAGGCTCTGAGCCGTTAGCACAGAGCCTGACGTGGGGCTTGAACTCAAGAACCGTGAGATCATGACCTGAGCTAAAGTCAGACGCTCAACTGACTAAGCCCCCCAGGTGCCCCAAGACTTAGAAAGTTTTTAATTAGACAAGAGACATAATCAGGTCTGTCTTTTAAGATCACTTTTCCGGAAATGTGGTCATATTAGAAGAGAAATTGCAGGTGGAGAGAACAATTTAAAGATTATTACCCTACCCATATCCTGCCTGAACTAGGGTACCAGCAGTAGAAACACAAAAGAAGACTGCTTTAAGAGACAGTCAGTGGGAATGCAAGCTGGTGTAGCCACTCTGGAAAACAGTATGGAGGTTCCTCAAAAAACTAAAAATAGAACTACCCTAGGACCCAGCCATTGCACTACCAGGCATTTATCCAAGGGATACAGGTGTGCTGTTTCGAAGGGACACGTGCACCCCCATGTTTACAGCAGCACTAACAACAATAGCCAAAGTATGGAAAGAGCCCAAATGTCCATCGATGGATGAATGGATAAAGAAGGTGTGGTATATACATACAATGGAGTATTACTCGGCAATCAAAAAGAATGAAATCTTGCCATTTGCAACTACATGGATGGAACTGGAGGGTATTATGCTAAGTGAAATTAGTCAGTCAGAGAAAGACAAAAATCCTAAGACTTCACTCATATGAGGACTTTAAGAGAAAAAACAGATGAACATAAGGAAAGGGAAACAAAAATAATATAAAAACAGGGAGGGGGACAAAACAGAAGAGACTCACAAATATAGAGAACAAACTGAGGGTTACTGGAGGGGTTGTGGGAGGGGAGATGGGCTAAATGGGTAAGGGGCCCTAAGGAATCTACTCCTGAAATCATTGTTGCACTACATGCTAATTTGGATGTAATTTTAAAAAATAAAAAATAAAATTAAAAAACAAACAAAAGAGACAGTCAGAAGTAGAATTAATCATTCTTGTTAAAATTTTGGATTTTAGGTAACAGGATAAGGAAGAGTTGAAGATGCCCTTGATGGGTCCAGCAACTGGATGATCATAACAAGAAATGAGAGACAGAGAAAGTGTTCAGCATCTGGAGAATAACTGAATAAATCAGACAAAAACTCTTGCTTCTCACATTAGATGTTTAACAAAAGCTTAATTTGAATGAACTCCCCCACAGACCCGAGCCATAACAACAATAAAGAGTTACAAACACAATAGTTTTTAAAAGGTCAACTTGGTCAATAAAAAACATAATTTGTTCAATTTGAAGATATCCAGAAGGCAACTAAAAATATAACACTGTGGCAGAGGAGTGGTGGTGACCTATCCCATTAGTAGTCACCAAAGGGATTATCCTGGGAGAACATCTAGAGAAGCAGCATGGCTGAGGATACTGCCTAGAAAACGCAGACATTGAAAGGACAGATGGAAGAGGAGCCAGCTGGGATTAAAAGTGGCTGAGACGAATGTAGGACAATCAAAAGCAAAGACAGAAGTGATCTGATTTGGCTAAAGCCATGCTCTGTCAACAGATGAAACAGAGAACTGTAAAGGATCCACACTCTGGATATCAATCAGGTTAAGAGGTTAGGAATTAATTGTGTGGGCCAAAGATTTTCGAACATGTGGGGGACTGAGAGGTTCATATTCCAACTCTCACCACTTGCTCTCTAGCCCCTAGGGACTGGCATTCATTGTGGGGCAGTTTGAAAATCATTCCTGTGGGTGGTCATGGAGAGTTTCTGAATATAAATTAACATGAATAGGAGTGGCATGAGGAGGTATCATTGGATACCTATGTGCAGAATGAGCTGGAAAAGAAAAAAAAAAAAAACCTAGATGTTGGTAGCAACTATGGTATTGATCTCAAAGGTGCAAAAGGCAGCCTGAGTTAAGATGTGGTGGTTAGCATGAAAAAGCTGCTTATAAGGGCTTTGCTAGCCTAAGGGATTGGGCATTTTTGATGCGAATCGGAACCCTCTCAAGAATTTTTACTTGGGAGGAGTGACATAGAGGCACTGGTTTAGTGAAGGATTAATTTAGTAATGGTTAAAAAAAAAAAAAAGGATTAAACAGTGGGTAAGACTGAAGGTAGACAATTTGTTGTAGCTGCACAGGTATGAAGTGATAAAACCCTGAAATAAAGTTCCACACGGGCATTCCTTGGCAACATTCTATGGTCGCATCCAGAATGGTGACCCTAGATCCTGCCTGCCTTAGTTTCTGGTCACTTCATCACAACAGGACATGCCAGGGCAGATTCCCCAGCTAGTCCTCACCATTCAC